GAGAGAGAGAGAGAGAGAGAGAGAGAGAGAGAGAAGAGCAGAGTCAGTAGTGAGAAGGGGCTGTGGGCTCTGAGGGGCTGGATGTATAAGGATTTATCATCGGAAAGGACAGGTTCTAGAGGCAGGGCAATTCAGTGAGAGGGAGGTTAGTAAAACAGGTTTGGAGGGAGGGGAGTTGTGAGTTTAATTCCCCTTTGTTGAGAGGAGAACATTTCTGTAGTGTTGAGTTTGAGGTGCCATCCCATCTCATCAGGGTCCTGTTGTTTTTGGTGTGTGATCACCACACTGGGTTATAGCTGGATTGGGGCAGGGATGAGCAATGGAGGGGTGTGCACATGGTGTAGGCTTTAGAAGGAACAAACTTGCAAAAAGTAGGAAAAAATTTTTCTTTACATGTAGATTTTTTTAGCCTTCCAGTTCTCCTCTGCCGTGCTGTTACTCATCATTTTGTAGTCCTCCAGAGCTATTTTGTGCATATGCTACAATGTGAATGTCTTAAGTGGCCATATTGTATTCTTTCTTGCCAAGATATTAGTTAAAAGAGAGGCACCAGGCTTCAATTAACCACTCATTAGGAACATCCTTCTCTGTTGTCTTACCACTAATTTATAACTATACCCCATCAACATTATTAATCTCCTTCATGAAAGTGATGGTTCTGCTGATTCTTCCTATGGCCACCTGTTCATGCTGGAGGGAAGGATGCTTATGGATTTATAAGCTCTAAACTTTGGTTTTAGGTCACTATACATATAAACTTTTATCCTGTTATACCTCTGCCTTCTCTCCTGCATTAACTATTGTGAATCCTCTGCTTCTTTTGGATCCACCAATAGTAAAATAGTTACCTGTCCCTGCAGAAGGTTGTGGAAACTCAGGCTATACTGTTTCTATGACTCTGTTCTGGGGGCATGAAAGACATCGGACTCTTCCTAGACATGATTCCCAGGGACAGGTGATTGCCATCCACACTGGAATGGGGGATAGAGGGTTTAGAGAGCTCATCAGGTAATGCTTGAGAGGAGTGTTGCTTCTTGAATTTGAATGCATTAATGATCACAAGTCCAATGTCTGCGTCTGCATGAAATCATACTTTAATTTTTTGAAGATTGTTTTTTTAAATAGAAACATCAATATAGAAATGTTAAACTCAAAGGTATAAGGAAATGCTCTTTCTTTCAAATCACTGACAATCTTAACCACTGGAAATCACCACTGCTGACATTTTGTCTTCCAATCTTTTATAATGCCAAATATTTAAAAATGATGCTGTTGCTCACATTGTGTTGGAAGCATTTTCCTATCATTAAATACTGCATTACAGTTTTTAATGGTTTCTTATTTCTTAGTGTTGGAGATTTAGATTGTTTCCAGATTTTTGCTGTTAAAAATATGTTATAAATATTCTTGTAATACTCATGAATAGGTCTCTGATTAGTTTCTTGGGATAAATTCCTAGAGACCTGAATTGTCAGAGGGCTCTGATGGAAGATGTCAGATTGCCCTCAAGAGAGGTTCTACCAATTTCTGCTACTAAGAATATTTGAGTACCATTGTCCCATACTCTTCCTTGAACTTGTTTTTGAGGTTTTCATATTTTATTTTTACTGTGATCAATAAAGAGATCCTGTGCTTTAGCCAGTGCTAGTTCCTTGATCTGCTCAAGGCAAAAAGAACTTGTTAATGAGCTATTCCAGCTTCAGTTTTCCTTTTTCCCAGGATTGGGAAAGGACAGAATTCTCTGTGGTGCCCATCCCATGCCCCCAAGGGCCCTGAGTCCTGAGTGGTTTGAGTGGGTTGCTTGCTGAGCTTGTTGAACACAGCGGGCAGAGCAGGGCTCCCGTGGCAAACAGTGATAAATACGCTTGTGTCAATCTGGCAATAAAATCAAGAGGATTTAATTGATCTATGGCAACAGGAAGCTGACATTTTAAAAAATTAAATTATTTGCACTTGCATCTTATTTAGCATCACTCTGATAAATGTACTCGATTGGGGAATTGCTTAGGAGAAAATTTCTTAGGTGGGAGCTTGCTTGTTGATTCCTTGGCTTTGGCCAGGATGAAGAAAGTGAAAGACTGGAGAATTTGGGAAGCTCCGGTAAAGAAATGGTGGCTCTGTGCCCCCCACCTCCCCCAAAGGCAGTGAAGTGGACACTCAGGGGTACACTGTAAGGCCTCGAGGACAGGCACACCACCATTTGTGTCTGTTATGAACTGCTAGATGAAACTGGGCCTGGTAACTTGCTGCAAAATTGGGAAAATGGGCAGGGAATTAAAAGGAACCAAGGCTTTGTGGTTAGACACCCAGCTTGAAATCCTTCTGTCACTCACCAGTTGCTTAACTGGCCTTAACCTGATTGCAGGAATTCTGAGTGTATGACTGTGTAAAGTGCCTAACAAATTACCTGGCACGTAATAGGTCTTCCATAAGCCTAGCTATAGTTAGAGCTAAAACGTGTTGCTGGGGAGGCTGAAAGCCCAGGCTTGACCCTCCACAGGGGCCATTTCAATCTATTGTAGTCATTGGGGTTCCTTATGGACATTCGGGATTTTCTCTCCTTCTGTGCATGGTATGTTTGTACATCGCTGCATCCTTTGGTGTGACCAACCGGCAGAAACTTGAAAAGCTAGTGCACAGTTTGCTGTTTACTCTTCTACCTGCTGTAATCACTGGGTTCTGACTATAAAAGAGCAGAACCCTTTGCTGATCCATGTTGGACATTCATTTTAAATGAGTGCTAAATCTGTTTATAAGAGTTTAGGGTATTTGTTAATGCAGCATAACCTACCGATGCTAACCAATGTACTTCAGTTCTCCAACTGTCTTTGACATTCCGTAGGCTCAACCCAGTTGTCATCTACATGTTTTTCATCTTTGTCAGTTAGGAGCATACCTTTGTTGATAGTACGGTGGGAATCGGTAAGAAAAAATTCCCCACCCAGACTCGCAGGAGAACAATTGAAAGGGCATGTTCTGTTGACATGGGTCTGCATCAAATCCTTTATTTGGAGTCAGGCAGCTTGTTCATACATATTTTTCAAACCCAAATGTAGTGGTCTGTATTGGAGAGCATGTTGATAGTGGAGTGGGGGTGGCAAAAGAGATGATGATAGAGATCATGGTAGAAAAGATAGACTTTAGAAAGAAACTGTTAGTGAATTTTCCAAATAGTTCTAGGGCATTGATAAATTCCAAGGAGGCAAGGGTCTGTGTGTGCTGGAATGAGTGTGCTAAGCTGGGCAATGTTGTGAGAAGCATCTTTTTTTTGTGCCAAGCATATCACTGGCCATTCTCATGTCTCTAGCTCCCAAAAGAACATACAGCCAAAAGGTGAAGTGGAAACATG